TTTATTTCATAATAAATATTACTAATTATTTATTATTTTTAATAATTAAATTAAAATAAAAATTAAGCAACTTGTGTGATCTTAACCACTCAATATGTCCACAACCACACCGTACCAATTGTTGATTAGTGTGATTGCGTGCGATTTCAGTTTCGCAATGAAGAGAAAAGTTAAAAGGAAAACTGAAAAAAGCAAACTCAAAACCAGTAAATGAAATAAATAAGAGGGAGAAAGGAAAATGAACCTGCGCCGTCAGGCTTTTGACGGCTTCTTTTGTACTTGGCGTCCCACTCCCACGCGCTCCTTCTCGCTCCTCCCTTCCCTCCGGCGTTTGCTTTGTGCACTGTATACACGTAAACATTTTTCCCCTCCTATATTTTCTTCTTCTTTCTCACTTCTAATATTTTTACCTACAAACAAATAAAAAAACAAGAATTTTTTTTAAATAAGTGAGCGATGAGAACAAGATATAACGTAGGAGATTTTGGGCAATGCATTGGGAGAAAATGATACGGACGATTCCGTCCTGTTTGATAGTACCAACACAACAAATGCAAGGAAACAAAATTCCACTAACCCAACAAGAAAACAAAAATAGTTAGGAACTCAAATCCTCGTTGCTGCAAGGACAAAAAGAGAGAAGAAGAAAAAAGAAAAGAAATAGGGATTGGTGAAGAAGTCCAGAAGGACCCAACAAAAACAAAGTAGAGAGAAAACACAACGGGACCATACCCATTTGGAAAAAAGCAGCCTAATTTGACAGTGACTAACTGTGGAATGTTATGTGCTTGCTTTCGCCTAATCAAGGATTGAAAACAACTCTGAAGGATCGCCGAGACAATCCCATTTTATTCCCGGAAAAATGAAGAGTTTCAATCTCTGCTTTGTTGGGACCCCTTTTTTTTTTTTGTCGAAGAAGAGGAAAAGATGATGGGACTGTTTCGGGATGAAAGCGGTGGATCATGAATAGAAAAAGTGACGAGCGAATATTAGGGGAGAGGATAGAGAGACGAGGTCCCATACAGATTTGGGTCACGCCTAGACTTGAAAACCCACTATTGACAACATTTATTTGTTGGGGAACTACTTACCTACTTAACAATCCTCCAATTTAATCCGCCTGCTTTTTCTCAACCTGTAAATTTTCTCAGTAACCAAACAGTAAAATGAAATTATTAATGATGACAAAAAGGAAACTACTCAAGCATATTTTGAGGAATAAAAATTCAAAAAAAGCGTGAAAGATGGAAAAAGTAAAGAGAAACGCCTGCTAAAGTAATCCTCTGTTCGGTTGCTGAGAAAGTGAAAGAAAAAAAATGGAATAAAAACAAATTACAGAAAAATGTTTACCCCTATGAACTTTTGATCTCACAGCTCAGAGACACCGGATGGGTGGCGATGGATATGAAAACTTTGGATTCCTTTTGATCTTCTTCAAGTTTTGATGCAGAGAGCATTAAATGAGAACCACTGAAATTCCGGTCGGCTATATCAACTCCATGAACTCATACATCTTGAAAATGAAACGGACGACAATATCTCGCTGGGACAAAAAAAATGCCGACGGTATGTCGGCCGAGAAACGGGATGTTTGGAACCTAGATGTTAACAGAAACGGAAAGTTTGGGTGCGGAAGCACCGTCGCCAGGGTACGGTTGTCGGGAAAATGCCTAAAAATAGCAGCAAATATTAGGGTAAAGACAAGGGGACGAGAAGAATTGACGTCAAGGTACTTATATAGGTCGGGAAGGAGTTGACGCCGTCAGAATTTGGCCGTTACATAACGGCGAAGGTTGATACGTTTCTTTCCATAATATTTATCCCCAACCAAGAATTTTCTTTTTTTTGTACATGTTTAGTGTGATTTGGTTTTAAATTAATCAAAATTTATTATAATTTTTAAATATTAAATATGTGTAAAAACATGCATATTTCGATAAAAAAATGAAATTTTATCATTTTTAAATTAACATTAATTAATATTTTAAAATAATAAAAAAATTTACAATTAAAGCATAGCATAATACAATATAAATAATTAAAACATATATTTGTTAATATTTTTTATTATTATTATTTTAAGAATATATCTATTTATATATAAGTTTTACATATTATATTATATAAAATTTTGATAATTTATTTTTCACTTTTAATAATTAAGATTTATTATAATTATTTAGATGAAAATAATAATTATTTTTAATAAATATAAATAAAATTTAATAATTAAAAATAAATAAATGATTCAAATTTTGTATAAACATAATATATAAAATTTGTGTAAATAAATTTTTATTTTACTATTTTTATATAAAGTTAGGGTGTTTTTAAATTAATTTTTACAGATTTTAATATTAAATTTTTTTCAAACAATATATAAATGTATTTTTATATTAATTTAAATAATTTTAAAAAAAGTTATTAATTTTAAAACCACAATATTTGCTTATTAGTTGATTGTAATTGCAGTTATATATCTGTTATTTAGTATCACGGGGTTAATTACAAACCGTTACGGTGGGTGGTTCAACCTGCGGTAAGAAATCGGTGAGGGTCGGAGGGAGAGGACATGTGGGGGCCACATGTCTGTCTTTGAGTGATGCAAGGAAGGCAAGGATCTCTTACGTGTAAATCAAGTTGATTACGTGGCATGGAATGATTGGGTAGCATGTCGGGTTGTGATCCATGGCTGGGATTTGATCATGGAATATTTAACGGGTCACAAACTTTTTAACTCTTGGAAAACTTCACTTAGCCCATTTGTAATGTGATTAGTTTTCAATTTGACAATAATAGTTTACTTTGTAACACTTAACTCCAGCCCTTTAAGGCTGTCAATTCAGCCAAATCGGTCCTTTTTTTTTTTTTTTACCGAACAATGTGGAACTTTTGGGAAAGGAGGTGAGAGGTATTTTTCAAAAGCAAGGTTGGAGGGTTTTTTTCCTTTAAAGAAAAAAAAGAACTTATATCTTAGTAAATTTGTTTGGTAAATAAGTTAGGTGGGAGTTAAAATTATGTGTTAAAACATCCAAACTCGCATTGGTGGGCGAATCAATTGATCCACTAGAGCTGATTTGGCATACATACACAGGAGGAATGTTTAGGATTATGCAAGACAAGAAGACCTTTTGTGAGAAAGCCAAAGGCAAAAGTTGAGAAGCCATCAAGTTTAGAATCATTGGCTTTGGCTTTAAAGAAAAAAAAAAAAAAACTACTAGAATAAACTAGACTTGTTAGGGTGTGTGACCAAAATAGGTAGACATTAGGATGAGGTCACGTGAGTGCAATAATCTTGTTGTTCTCGGGGAGGATGGAGATTAAGGAAATATAACCTGCCTTAAAAGTTTTGGCTGTTCATCTTTCAATTTTAGGGGGCTTAAGACTTTGAAGTCCTTATTACCAAAAAAAAAAAAAAAAGACTTTGAAGTCCATGGTCCAATCAGATTGCAGGGGGTTAGGTACCTGGATGCACTGTTGATGAAGGAATCAACAACTGTTAAATATCCATATTGGAGTACCACAAGATCTCCTCCCATTTTGTCAAAAACGTATCCAAAAGACTCCAACTACTAAGAACAAAACAAATTAAACCCCATCTCTCGTATCCCTTGATTTAGCTTGCCCACTCACAATTAATCTTTCTAAAATTGTGTCAAAGTTTTTTTAATCCGAGCCATACAACATACAAATAAGGACGAAAGAAAAAGAATGAATTATTAACTCGAGGAATTCTTTTTGAACTCAATTTCCTACATTAAGTTTATGCCACGCCTAGTCATTCTCTGCACATATAATGTTAAAGATCTGAACAAGAGACCTTGCGACATATGGCGACAATCTGAATTCGAATAGTCTGTGTGTTCCCTTGGGGTTAGACTTTAGAGTTCACTGCAACAGACATTTGGCGACTGAACCGTGCGGCTGTAAATCCGTCACTGAAGGTATGGTCGGGTTGTCAGCACTGCTGCTGGCACTGCTGCATTAAGCCGCTGCTTTTGGGGCAAGTGTGCGTGTGAGAATGTACGCATTTTGTGTCTGCTTTAACTTTACATTTATACATAATTTATAAACCCACACTGTTTTTATCCTTGGCTTTATCTTTAGGCTAACCTGTCTTTAAGCAAAGAATGCTTGGAACAGAGGGACAACTAAAACAACTCAAATAACAGCAGCAGTCTTCTTTTATAGGCCTAAGGGTGAATAAATTCACCTTTTGTATATCATCAACATCAGAGGTGCCAGATGCCCAGACATGGGCTACTAAGCTTTTGGCTAAAGCAGGTCCTACAAGATCTTCTTAATCAAGAAAAGCATAGTCAAGGTCCAAAGTCATTCCCCCTTACTTGGGTTTGCATTGGAAGCAAATTTATTAATATATCCGTAACTTTAATTTACAACCTTCTGGTTTCTTTCTCTTTATTGAGTTGCCCATATATGTGTGAGGGAGGAAAGTTATAGTACATAGTAATTTAATAATAATACCTATTTAGGAGTCTTTGGTTTTCTTGGTAGATTACATAATAAGAGATGAAATAATTCCTTTAATTTCTAAACTTACAATGTGTGTTATCTTGATTTAAATTCAAAATCTCTACCACTAAGAGATGGAATAGTGGCACTGATCCCCTGATCCCACCTTGAACAAGAAGGGAAAGGTAAAAGAAAAAGGAGAAGGGTTACTTTCAATGTAACTCTTCTTCATTTAAGTGGTGAAATATAAACAAGAGCTTTAAGTTTCAAATTCAAGTCTTTTTTTTTTTGTCCTTTAATGTATTAGTGTAAGTAGTTCAAGTTTAAGAGAGAAAAGAAATAGAGAAAGAGAACACAAATTCAAACTCTTGTCATGAAGGTGTAAAAGCCTTTTTTATGTTAATGACAAAGTCACTTCAACTATTAAGACTCCATTCTTATAATTTTTCATTTTAAGATTTAAACTAAAAAAAGTAAAAGCATGAATAAATCTTTAAGCTAGAAACATTTGTTTAAAGTTTAAACATATGTGAGTCTCATGAAGTAAACAATGATGCATTTTGAAAAGTGATTATAAAGCCATTCAGCAATCCGTTCTAAAGTAGATCTAATATACTGCATATTACAATCCTCAAGTCTTTCGCAGTTTCCAATGCTTGATTACTTTGATTACAACTTGCTCCATTTGATTTCTTGTTTCAGACGAAAAAACATTACTTAACCATACCCCCATCTTAAAGGAAAAGATCACCTGACCATTTTAAATGGTTAAATTTAATTTTTCATCTATTAACTATTACTCTCTTTTCATTTTAGTTTAAAAAGTTTAATTTCTTTTAAAATCATCTATAAACTTTGAAAATCATTTCAAATTCATTTACCCAATAAACTGCTGTTAGTTTGTTTAACAGAATCCCATGGCATAGCATATGCAGTTCTGAAAAATTATACTTTAACCCCAAAAACTTCACAAAATTTTCAATGAAGTTTTATATTCAAATCATTCTGCTTTCTTAGGAAGATTTTTTTTTTTAATTTTGTAATAAATTTATATGTTTTAATTTTGATTAACAACTAAAAAAATTCATCATTGTCATTATTAGGATAAAATTATATCACTTATTTTTTTATTTAGTTCAAAAAATTAATTTTATTTGTATTATCTCTTTCTCAAAATAACTTTTGTTTTTTTTTTAAATTAAGAATTTGAGGATAATTTATGTTTACTTATATTACTCTTAAAAATAAATAAAAGATGAAGAAAAACATTTTGTGATGGGATGATTAATGAAAGTAAATAGATAATAATAATGTTACAGTAAAAAAATAGATTTGTTTACCTTGAAAATTTTTTTAAAAAAATTAATTTGAGACAAATTTGAAATTATATGACGATAATTATTTTGGAACAAATGAAGTAAAATTAAAATGTACTCCTTACATCCCACAATAATAAGTATTTTTTTATTTAGAGTTTATCTTAAAATAATAATGATTTTTTTATATTTTAATGGAAATAAAATTTTTATTTCTACTTTAATTTTATGATTATATCTTAATTTTAATAATTTTTCTTATTATAAAAGATTAATGATAAGGAGGATGAAAATTTAAAACTAATGATGTGATATAAATTATATTATTAAATTAGTTAATGCATATAATATCACATATCTTTAAAAAAAATCAATCATATCAATCATTATATAATCTAAGATCTATTTTTTAATATTTTAAATAACATGACATAAGTTAAATTTTAGTTCCAAATTTTGGTCTTATTTATCATTATTCTTAAAAAATGTTCTTTATTTTTATTTCTTTTTTAAGGATAAAATATGTAATAATAAAAATTGTTTCTAAATCCTTAATTTAAAGATAAATTCAAAAATGTTTATTATTTTAAGATAGAGAAAATACATTTTAAAAATTTTTACGTGTAAAAGTTTTTTTTTTAATTTTAATTTGATAAAAATAATATTATAATCTTAATTAATTAACAAATTAAGCTATCTTAATTATTTATCATTAGTTTTGATTAATTATAATTTAGTCCATTTAAGGATTTAATTGAGTAAATTGTATTGTAAAATAATTTGAATATAAAACTTAATTAAAAATTTTGTAAAGTTTATGGAGTTAAAGTGTAATTTTTCACAACTATATGTGCCACATAATTGATGCCACGTAAGCATGCCATGAGATTCCATTAAAAAAACTAATTGCTGTTGTTTATTGGATAGATGAATTTGAAATAATTTTCAAAGTTTATAAATGATTTTGAAAGAAACTAAACTTTCTAGACTAAAATGAAAAGAGAGTAATAGTTAATAGATGAAAAATTAAATTTAACCCATTTTAAACCTTAACCATCTCCTACCTTTTTAAACATTTGTTTATGTCTTTGAAACAGAAGAAAAGGAGAAAAACAGGATATTGAAGAAAAGAAAAGTAGAGGTTTATCATTTATGTTAAGCCCTAGCCCATACCCATTGGCCCATTAAAGTTGAGGTTAAACATTCGAAGTACAAAAGCAAGAACAAGAAAGGAGGCAACTAAAATTTCAAGTTTTCCGAATCTTCATTTGCTTTTATTATATTTCTTTGATTACTTTATTTCAAATTGAATCAATGAAATAGTAAGCACCCTCTTCCCTCCCTTATTGAACTCCCCAACGGAAAGTGTCTCATCATGTTAATCATTGAAAGCCTAAAATCAACTTTTTATGCTTCTTTTGCAATAGAACTAACGTACTAGTTATTGGGTTAGGGAATCAAACTCTACTTCCAATACAAAGAAAGAAAAGGATCAGTTGAGATAAAATCGGAGTAAGTTCTACTTCTTACGTGGTCCACCGCGGAGAGAATCCCAAAATACAGGCCAGTTCTTCTGAGCCTCGTTCCATCCCAAGAGTGAGCCTTCCCTCATTGGATCCCAACTGGAGGATACAATACCATAACTCACACCCAAGAGGGCAGTACCAAAGAAGATGAATGAAACAATGATGGGCACCCATGTAGGGACATCGATTTTCAAAACAACCTTGAGATAGTAGAAGAATGGGAAGAATAAGAGCCCTATAAACAATGGAACCCCTACTGTGAATCCCATCCTGCTTATCATTCTGTTGGTCACTACTTCTGGTATTATGCCTGCATCTGGTTCAAACTCTTCCTCTTCTTCACCTTCATCGTCATCATCATCATCATAGCTAGTCTTCTTTGACTTCTTTGTCTTCTTATTTTTCTTTGGGGGAGGTCCAAAGCCTCTTGGACCATTCAAGGTGGCATACAAGGGTGCTAGGTGTACAAGGTGAGCTCGAGTTTGACTTGATGAGGCAAATTGAAATTGGCATATTTGTGTTTTATCCATTCTTAGGCGTTCACTTATCCTCGCAGGCACTTCCAACTGGCTGCTGATAGAGAAGGTCCAAATCTTATGAACTGAATTCAATTGCTCATAATCATGATCAATCTGCAATGACAGAAGCAAATTATATATATATATAGCTGATTGATTCATTATGAAACCTTAGATATGTTTTCAGAAATTGATTTATCAAGTTTCATTTACGGTTTACCCCTCAGCTGACTGATCTTGCCATTGGGGTTGCTCTAAAATATCTTAGGTCTTTTCAGGAAACAATGGCATCATCATATTAATAAGGAATCAAAAAAAGAATAATGGCAAGCGTTTAAAACTAATCAAAAGAGAAACTTGATGGTGTTACAAATTCAAACCTAAGCCGTTTTAGGATCATAAAAAGGCAACAAACCATCAACCATAATAGTCATAAATCAAATATGGTTTTCTAATAAAGAACAGAGAAAAGGGTATCTGATATATCCTACTTCCAGTTTCACTAAGCCCATATATTATGGATATTTCTTAATATATTTTTTTGCATTATAAAATTTTGTTATCAACTTTTAATCTACACCCATTTCTACTACAACTAAACGCTTATAGAAGAGTCAAAATGAAATCCACCAGAGGGTAAAGTGATCATTTTTACTTGGAAATTCATGATGGGCTTTAAAACAAATAGATTCCTGAAAATGCATTAACACCAAAATTGCAACTATAGAATAAAATCAAAGGCAACAACAAGACAAGCTAACCGTAATAATTTACAAAGCAAAGCGTTGAAAGAGCATAAAAACACTTGAACCACAAATGAATTCACTACCAAATAAGATCCATCTATTGATTAAGACGCAAATTAAGTAAATTTCATGTTCATGTTCATGTTCCAACAAAAACAAATTAAACAACATTAAAAACATAGAATTTGGTTATTCTAAAAATAATAATAAAAATAAAAATAATAAAATTTGGTTGGTGGAGAAAGATTTTGATATGATAATACCTTGTAAGGGCAGGGAAATGACGCAAATCCTATTGCTGCCATTCACTTTCGCTGAATCTGTGTTGTATCTCTTTGGTTCAGCAACAGAAAAGAGAATTCTTAAACGAAACTCTGAGGCTCAATTTTCGTTCCGCGAATGAACCCCCAATGAACAACACCAGAGTGGATAAGGTTACCGTACATTACATGCCGTTACGGGCCGGGCCGAAATTATCAACAGTGGACTAGAAACTAGCATCGAGCCCACGAGAAAACTCATAAAGGCCGAATTCCACCCCCGTTTTTTTCTTTGAGAAATTTTTTAAGTAACCGACTTGGACTTGTTTTTGGATTTAAAAAGTTGAATTAAATTAATTACTTATAAATTTTGAGCAATTCTTATTTTACTGAGCAACAAATAAGTTGTGACCAAAATATTGAATAAAATAAGCATGAATTCTTGGGCCAGGAAAAAAAAAAAAAGCCAAAAAAAAAAAAACCCAAGCAGAAGGTTTTTCTTTATAAGACAGAGTAAGTAATTTAACCTGTGGGGAAGGGAGTGAAAAGATAATTACACAAGTTTGAACTCTAGTCAATGGGCAAAAAAATCTTTTTATATTTAGATATTTAAGGTATGTTTGGTGCAGCTTATTGGAGCTTTTTCTTTTTTTTTGTATTGTTTATGAATGATAAATTTAAATTTTTATTGAAAGTAAAATTTAAAAATTATTTTTAAAGATAAAAAAATGAATAAAAAGTGAATAAAAAGAGAGATTATGAAAATCTGAAATTTGAAAATTTTAAACTTTTACTATTTAAGATCTTTTTAAAGTTAAAACATATTTTAAAAATTTAAGTTTTTAAAAGAAAAATTTTAATTTATAAAACATGAATAATGTCAAAAAACTGAAATTTCTCGAAGTACTAGCGAACAGGCCCTCAGCCAATAAACCTGAAGGCCTTCTTCACCCAAGAAGTTAGAAGGCAATTGCATTGGATTTTGAACACGGGTGGTTTGGTGTTTAGTTATCAAAAGATTACAACTGAACCAAGTAAGTCCTCAAATCAATTGAGCACAATTATGTAAACAAATATTCATATCAGCTACCATATTACTCTCTCAAGAATCTATTTCTGTGAAGAAGACATGCTCTTTTTTTATTTTTTGACAAGGAAGACATGCTCATTTAGTCAACAACATTTTCAATTCTATATTTGCAACATGCAGCCTTAGGCAGAAACTGCAAGTGTACTGAAGTTTGGATAGGCATATGTTCAAAAATATTCAAACTAGGAAAGGATAACCTTTGTTCCTTCTTCATATATCCATGAGCCAAGCAGAGTTAATAGCCAGTCAACTGATTCCTGGTTAAATAAAGAAGCCATAATTTTGTAAGAGAATGAATGAGAATAAAGTAACAAAGAGAAGGTCAAAAAGAATGAAGCAACAGGGATTTCATATTCCGTGATGCATCTTGAAACTTTACATGGGCATTTATGAAATGACAGGGCAGTTAGAGAAGGGGATGTACAAATAAATTAGATGATTGTGGGAGTTATTAGAGCTAATTGACAGGAGCTATCAAGTGACTGATTAAAGGTGGTTGGCTTGCAGCTGTGTGCTCCATTGTCCAAGTGCAATCAACACAGTCAAGTGATTCCATTAACATACCCCTTTCCCTCTAATTGATGTGAAGATCTACTATTTGACAATGAGAAGTCACACAGAATATGGTAAGACAGATTGTCAAAAAGAAAAAACAGAATATTTGCATAAGATTTAGCAGCACCACCAGAAATTAAATAAAATACGTAATTTTCTTTATTTGGAAACTTGAAAATGCAACAGACAGTCGATAATTTGATCAGTAACACAGGAACGATATGTGGCATTAATGAACTCACCCTGAAAATCCTCGTTGTAAGATTTAGAAAATAAGTCCTAAGCTACTGGAGTTCCAAAACGGCTGCGGAGATCATCAATTGCTTTCTCAAAAGACTTTGAAAGCTCAGAGATTGACGTTTTGCATGCTGAAACAACAACAAAAACAACGAAAAAGGTGATGTTAAACATGTAAAAGTGAAAGGAAAACAAAGAAAATGGGCCTAGTGACACTAGTTAGTTCATAAGGATCCCTGGATCTACACAACCATTATCATCAACTTTTACAACTTTTGACAGCTCAACAACATAGTAACTAAGCCCCTGACTGTGGTACTAGATTTAAAATAATTTAGATGTAAGCAGATTTATAATTTAATGATTGTTTTGTATCTAGTAAGAATAAGAGAATAACATATGACTTGAGAGCTTATGCATGGAAAGACCTCCTCATTGACATTTGTGCATACAATTCAAATGTTCTGAAACCTAACCAACAAGCAGTTTAAATTCATAATCAGTGTGTTTTGTTTTTCTCATAAGTGGTGATCAACGAAGAAGTTCC